TATTATTATTATTATTATTCAAGCATCAGTATAACCTTGCATGACCGACGGAAGGGTGTTCGGAAAAAAACCTATCGCTGAATAATATACTCTAAGCCTTGTTCATATTACAAAGGGGAAAATGATCGGGAGAGCAAGGGTTTGATTTCTTGAGGGGAGAGGTGGGGGTTGAAACGCTGAACTTGGGAACGAGTGCGTCATAACAAGACTGGTTGAAAACATGGAGAAATACTTGTGAGGGCCTGTGCGCACCCGGGAAAGTTAATGTTGGGTGTAAAGTTTACAAGGMACGATTAAAACCCCAAAACAAAGTACTGTTCCTATTGTTGGCTGCTGTGTCTCATTGCTATTTATTGTATTTCAGTTTAGTTTGAGTTAAGCTGCACCAAATTGGTCAGTTTTCATTGGGTGCCACTCTTAAATAAAGGTCTAGTTGAATCAACTGATATCGACGTCTGCTGTTTTCTATTGTTTTAGGAATGGAAAGAAGTCGGAAGAGAAAAGAATAAACCGCGTTTCCTTTTCGAGGTATGAAGGACGTTCATGGTCATTGCACGCGCGCATCCTTTCCACGCATGTGTTCTCATTGTGCGCTCATTGTGCATGCTGACGTCATTCAAATGTCAAGAATGAAGTTTTTTACTTCTTCAAACTCTCATAGCTCTGAAACAAACTGAAATCGGTGATCCCCATTTCCCCCGTGTTTTCCAAGTACTTCATCATTATCCTCTATGCCTGTGTGGCACGTAGGCTGTACTCCATAATACCTAACTGTCGTGTTACGGCCCGCTTTAATGTATATCAGCTAAATACGTGTGAATCTGCATGAGCATATTCATCCTAATTTACATACATCGCACTCCTCCCTTCTTAGCTTGAGGGTCGTGGTCAAATGAAATCTAACTATTAACAACTCAAATAGACTATAAGTCTTTCTTTTGACCTAATGTCTTTAACGCAATGTTCAGTCTCTTGTTTCTTTCTGTTAATACAGTTCTTTTCTCAACCTTTCCCTTCCACTAGTCTTAGTGGCGGTTTCCGTATCCTGGTTGATCGTCGTAGTGCAACTTGCTTGGGTACTTTCGTGACTCTTGTTGAAGTCACTGCTTCTGGCTCTCGTGTCGGCATTTTTTTCTTGGGTTCCCGCAGGCGGTCTTGCAGAAACATGATCTTTCTCTTCCCTTGTCTGTATCTCCGGCATGGGTCTGTCACTCGTTAAGGTACTTCCACTTAAGTTTGTCTCTATGTCGCGCTGTGGCACTTGACCTCTCGACCGATCTGGTACTATCTCTGGTCCATCTGTCATAAGATCGGATCTCCTCAGACGATCTACATGTCTCTTCCACACTCTTCCGTCCTGTAACACGATACATACGATTTTGGTCCTGCCCGCTCTACTATAGTACTTGACCACCATGTCTCCTCCTTTCTTGGGTCTTTCACCAGCACTGGTTCTCCAGCGTAGAACTCTCGTAGYTTAACTTCCTTGTCGTGATACTGCTTCTGCTTACTTTGCATGTTCACTACCTTGTTCTCTGGGCTTGGTCGTACTAGAGCTAATCTTGTACGGAGTTCTCGTCCCATGAATAAGCTTGCTGGTGTACATCCAGTTGTTGGGTGTTTGGTAGTACGGTATGGCAAAAGGAAACGATCTAGCTGTAGCTGCAAGTTTTGTCCTGGTGACTTACTTGCCTTAAGGCTTCTCTTGAATGTTTGTACCATCCGGTCTGCAGCTCCGTTGCTAGCAGGGTGGCAAGGTGCTACCCTGATGTGTTTCACACCGTTTTTCTTGAGAAAAACTTCGAATTTTTCACTTCTAAACTGTGGTCCGTTGTCACTAACTATCTGTACTGGGATTCCATACTTGCTGAACAGGTCTCTTAATACTTCGATCGTTACTGTTGCTATAGTACTTTTCATGAGAATGATCTCGGGTCATTTTGAATATGCGTCCACTACTACCAAGTAGTTCTTGCCTTCTTTCTCTGCAAAATTAATATGTACTCGGCACCACGGTGTATTTGGCCACAACCATGGCAATAATGGTGCAACCGTTGGTACACTCCTTGTCTGCTGACACCTGTGAAAGTGTCTGACCGTGTATTCTATGTCTTCATCAATTTTCGGCCACCATATGTAGCTCCTCGCCATCTCCTTCATACGTACCATCCCGGGGTGAGCCGTATGCAGTTCCTCTAGCATCCCTTCACGGTGTTTACTGGGAATAACCACTCAGCGTAATCCCCAAATCAAACAGTCTTGCTCGATGGATAACTCGTGCTTACGTTGGACGTATGGCTTCAGCCGCATGTCGTCTACTTCTGAACTCGCTTGCTACGTTGTAGATAGAGTTTTCCCTCGTTGATGAACATGTGGCTAACAATGGCAATCTGGATAATGCATCGGATGTTGCATTTTCTTTAGATGGAATGAACTTGAGATTGTAGTTGAAGGCTGATAGGGTTAAAGCCCATCTTTGTAACCTTTGTGCTGCTAAYGTTGGCACGGCTGTTTTGGGAGCTAAGATCCTTTCTAACGGTTTGTGATCAGTCATTATCGTGAATTGCCTTCCCCATAGATAACTATGGAATCTCTTGACACCAAAAATTACTGCTAGGGCTTCCTTGTCCAGCTGACTGTAGCCTTTCTCGTGTTTGTTCAGTGTCCGCGATGYGTAGGCTATCGTGATTGTGCATGATGACTGCCCCCAGTCCATATGGAGAGGCGTCTGTTGCTATCAACAGCGGTAGTTTAGGGTCGTAATGCGCTAGTACCTTCCTTGAGGTAAGTTCTTGCTTTATTTTCTTGAAAGCTGACTCACATTCCGGCGTCCACTTCCACTCCTTGTTGCCCAGGAGGTCGTTCAATGGGTGTATCACACTTGACAAGTTCGGTAAGAACTTTGCGCGAAAATTCAGCATTCCCAGCCACGAACGCAGTTCTGTCACATTATTGGGTGCTGGGGCCTTCGTCACCGCTTCTACCTTTTTCTCCGTTGGTTGGAAACCTGCCGCTGAGATCTTTACTCCCATGTAGACTACTGAATCTTTCATGAATTCGCACTTCTCTGGCTTCACTCTCAGACCATATTTCTTGAATCTCTTGAAAACCTCTTCCAGCGTTTGCAATTGTTCCTTATCATTACGACTGGTTACTAGAACATCATCCATGATACCACACGTGTAGTTTAAGCCTGCTAATACTTGGTCAGTGAACCGCTGCCAGATTGCTGGGCTTGACGATATACCATAGGGTAAGCGCGTATACCTGAATAGTCCCTTAGGCGTGTTTATTGTGACTAAGTTCTGGGACTCCTCGTCGAGTAGCATCTTTTGATATGCACACTTCCCAGCTGTCCGAAAGACTACGCGCGAAAAGGATTGTTGGTAGAAATGGAACAGTCCTCTCACCAGTCTTTCACTTTTAGACCGCGCGGTTCATCACATGAATTTTGAGTCCGCCATCTTGAAAATTTGCCCTTATTAGTGATTAGTGGCAAATTTTTCACGCCTTTGTGTCTCCAAAGCCTCATCTGAGTTAATTTACTTATACACAAGTACTTCTGTTGATTGTAAGTGAAAGAAACATGAATAAATGCGAATATAATTATGACTCTAACGATCCGTAACTTGTCTTGGTTCTTTACTCGTAAAAATAGAGTTTGTTTACATTTGATTTTACTTGCTAAGTGTCGAGAAATATTCCAAATAGTAAGATTTTAATCTTGTAAAAGTACTTAAGAAGGTTCTTGTGCTTTGGCTGAGTCATTTTTAGCGAGAAAATAGCAAAATAACACTCGTTCGAGCAGCACAGATCGCTGTTTCAACTCTACTCGATGGGAAGAACGACCTAGAGGCAGCCATCAACTTTTTTAGCGGGTTTTTCTCGAAGTTTCAGTTTCTTATGAGCCAAAGACAAGGCAAAGAAGAATAAAMACACGAAACTCCTGTTGACCTACTCGCATTCGTGAATGCCAGAATCATCAAACGCTACTCTCAAGCCATTCAATCGTCTTATATTTACCTTTGTAGGTAAATAAACAGTGAAATTCTATGTAGATAATATAAGAAATATTCCAATGTGTTGTAAACTCTATTTTCTATCAGAAATCTGTGAAATCCGTCAGAAATCCCTTCCGAGCTTCGTTAGACTTGCTCCAAGTCTCGCTCGTTATTTTTTCCGCTGGCGAGTCGTCGAATTCAGATTTCGGCTCTTCGGGTTCAAACAGATTTCCGAAGGGAATGGCCGAGAAAAAATGAAAAGCGAGCGAGACTTGTAAAACTCGGCATCTCATTAACATTCAACAAGTTGGCCTGAGCTTTGATTGAAATGTTCGTTTGCATTTCCAGGGGCAACATACGCGTCGACGTGAGCCTGTAAATAATGCAGATTTATTATGGAAGAGACGAAAATTACGCCTCTAAAAGATATACAACCTGAATTCGAGGACTTTAGGAGTACTTGTCGTATTGTTTGTGTAAAAGAAATAGTCAGCCACAACAAAGTGCCAAAGAAAACATCATTCGACTTTTCAATCCAGATAATAAAAGAATAAAAAGACTTCGTTTTGTATTGAGATCGAAAATTATTTGTCAGTGACTATTCATGCCACGGACTTCAAAGTTATGTAAATCATGCTCCAGGAGCATAAGTTAAGCCTTAAAAATCATGTAATAGGAGATGGCTCATCGTGATCTGAATGAAGCCGCGATTTGATTCCTAAATTTTCTAATTTTCTCAACTGATCTCGCATCAAGAAAATCGAAGGCTGGATGACGAAAATTTTACACTTTGTGGTCTTGGATAAGACAATATCTTGTGATTTGGATTCAAGATCCACATCATTTTTTACATTGGAATGCTTCGAAAGCAAACGGGAATAACTGATATACAGTGGACTTTCCTGAACCCGTTGGCGTGAAATAAAACAATCTTTTCCCTCAAGAAGACTGCTAATAGCTTCCGTCTGATAATTTCTAAGATTTTCTAGCTTTAAAACATTCTTAACTGCTTCGATGGGTTTCCCCCCATAACTTTTCGACTAATGAATACAAGAACCAAATCAAATTTTACCAATGGCCGACGATAAATGATAAAGTCGTGCAACACGACTCCCCCGATATAGATTTGGTCTCTCATGTTCTTGCTCCTCATTGGTTAAGAATCAGTCGATATATTACGTCAGCGGACAGAGTCCTGTCCGCGAATATTAATGAATGCCGAGTTTTACAAGTCTCGCTCGCTTTTCATTTTGTTTCGGCCGTTCCCTTGGAAATCTGTCGGAACCCGAAGTGCCCGAAATTTGAATTCGACTACCCGCCAACGGAAAAAATAACGAGCGAGACTTGGAGTAAGTCTAGAGCTTCGTCGAACTGCGTGTATTTTTCTTGAAAGAGGACGAGGGCCCCTCGACTCAAATTCAAAATGCACCGTGATTGGTCAGTTCGCGCGCTCTCCAGACAACTGGTCAGGTCAATCTTTGAAAACTGCTTTCCACCAACCATCTTGGTCTGGAAATCTTCCGGCGTTGGTATCGGGTATTGTTCTGTATGAATTGCTTGATTCACTGTGCCTTTGTAGCCCCCACATAGACGTACTGTTCCGTCGGTCTTGGGTACAACCACTAAGGGAGTTGACCACTCCACTGAATTCTACAGCTTCTATAATTCCTTCTTGCTTCATCCTGTCGATTTCCTTCTCGACTGCTGGTCTAAGAGAGAATGGCACCGGGCGTGCCTTCAGGTGAATTGGTACAACATCGGGTTTTACATGCAAGGTTGCCTTTGTTCCTTGTATGGTTCCTAGTTCTGGTTTGAAGATATCTGCGTACCTCGATTTCAGCTCCTCAACTGGTTCCGACCTCGAGTGGTAATGCACTTGCGTGAACAAGTTCTGCCAGTCCAGCTTGATGGCTCTGAGCCAGGATCGTCCCAGCAGGGTTGGAGCATACTTGTCTGCCTCAACAATAACTATCGGTAAAGCTGCACACTGTCCCTGGTATTCGACATCTACAAGAATCTCTCCTGCTGTCTTCAAGGGTGTTCCCGCATATCCGCTAAGGCTTCGTGTTGTCTTCTTCAGCGAGATATGTCGAAGGTACTTCTCGTAATCCTTCATTGTCACGATGGAAACTGCTGCTCCGGTATCTAGCTCCATTTCCACCTTTGATCCTTCCATTAAGATCGGTATCTTGATCGTTCCTGTAAATTCTTGATGATCTACCTTAATCTTATTTTTCACGTCCTCGTTGATCTCCACTGCATTTACTGGGTCGTACGGACCTGTATCCGATTCACTCTCCTCCACTTCGCTCGGCGTCTCGTAGTCGTCGTCTTGGTTAACGCTCTCTTCTACGAAGCGTACAGGTTGTTTGCCCTTCGTGGMTTTGTTTTCCTTCCTTACGTTGTCGTTACCTCGGCCTTGCCCCTGTTTGTTCCTTCATTGCGACTTTAGATGACCAATTTCATTACATTTGAAGCACTTGCGTTTTTGTGCCTGCATTCAGCAGAGCTATGGTTTCGCACCGTCCGCATTTCCTTTCCGATTCAGTTGAACTTTTTACCATTCTTCGATTTCCCCGATTTACCATTTTACTTTTCTCACTCATGCCCTTGACATTCTTTTCTGCTGCTTCTTCTGCCAAAGCTACCTCTAGTGCTTTTTGGAAGCTGTAATTTTGTGCCAGTAGTTTTGTATGGATGCTATCCGACAGCAAACCACACACAAATCGGTCTCTTAAATTCTCTTGCAACTGGTCTCCTTTAAAATCACAAATCGCTGCCATTTTCTTCAAATCTGCTGCAAATCCGGTGATGGACTGTCCCGTTGTTTGCTTAGTGGAGTTAAAGCGAAATCTTTCAGCGATTACTAGCCTTTTTGGTTTAAAATGTGYTTTTAGTATTCCACATAGCTCCGTGAAGCTCTTCTCACTCGGTTGTTGTGGATAACACACGTCGCTCAAAATCTTGTACGACTTGTTCCCTATGCTGCTTAATAGGATAGCTTTTCTCTTTGCTTTGTTTTCTTCCCTATCCTCAATATCCCAGGCTATAAAATACTGACATATACTGACATAACCTGTTGATATAGCTAACTATATCACCTTGATTGTGGTCAAATTCTTCGAAAACACTTCTCGCCGTCGCCATGATGTCGCTGCTTTTCTCGCTTGAACTCTGTCCTTGGATTCGTAAATTCCCTTTGAATTCGCCTTAAAACAGTTCCTCGTTGTTTTATTGTTTTATGCTTGGCTCCGTAAATTCACGTTGAATTTGCCTAAGAAAAAGTCCTGAAAATCTTGATTTTCTTACAGCATCCTCGTCGCCAGTTTCGTGTTTACGGCCTGCTTTAATGTATATCAGCTAAATACGTATGAATCTGCATGAGCATATTCATCCTAAGGGGCTGTTTATATGGAGCGAGCCAGCCCGGTAAGCGGGCTAGCCCGCCTGGCCGAGATGAATTTTGGATTGCGTTTATATGGGAAAATTCAGCCCGCTTACCGGGATGAAATCAGTCATGTGATCATCCAGCCTCGTTAGCATACGAACTCGTCCCGAGAAAAKAAATAAAAAACATGGCGGCGATGGCGGTAAAATCTGCCTTCCATCGAAAAAAGTATTTTTTCTTTGGATCGTCCGCCATGTTTATAAAATTTGGTATTGTGATCGCTTTGGTCAGCGAATTTCGCATGCGCAGTAGGATAAAATCCAGCCCGCTTACCGGGCTGGCTCGTTTATATGGGAATTTTTCCATCCCGCTTGCCGAAATCTCGGCAMCGCCCAACCGAGATCTCGGTAAGCGGGTCAGCCCGTCTACCCATATAAACACAAAGCATTTTTTACAACGAAAAGAGGCCGAGCCGAGTTCTCGGCCAAGCGGGCTAGCCTGCATATAAACAGCCTCTAATTTACATACACCACACTAACTTTAAAGGAAATATGGCATCAAATTAAAATCACATATTTTGTGCATAGTTGGAATAATAGAATTTCACGCAAAGCTAAGGCTACAAGTCCACACTTGTTGCCCAATAACATTTCAAACGTCAGGGCAAACGTCCGTGTAATCTAAAGTCAGTTAAACCCCTTTTTCAATTTGCTCATTTTATTTCTATTATATAAAAAATCTGAAGATGAGATCGATTGCCCATAAACGTCGTACGTCCTTAATGAACATGTTATGGTTAGAGCCGTTATCATTTTCTCCGTGCTCAGCAACTTCGAAAATAAGTTAGGATCTTTGGCTTTGGGCTGAAGGAACTTGAAAAGCGCGCTGAAACTTCTAATACCAAACTATTAACTACTATTACCTAATTAATAACTTCCAATACTTATTATTAACTTCTAATTATCTACTTCTAATCAATAATTGATAACTTCGAATACAACCTAATTAATGACTTCTAATACCTGTTATTATTTTCCCACCGACCTTGATTGTTGAAGATTGTCGCTAACAAGATCAACGGTATTGACGTCGACAAGTGGGATTACTTTGCACGTGACTGTAAATATCTTGGCATCAAGAGCTCCTTCGAACACATGTAAGATATCAGACTGTAATCTGTAAATATTAAAGAAAATCTGTAACCATTACTTTTAGCCAGGAAAAAGTGATAAAAACCCGTCTGGTTGATATGTTAGATCACATTCGATGCAATAGATCTTTTTCAAGATGCGCGAAAGCTGTCAAAAGTATCGCGCGCTCAGATTCTAAAACGAGGCATTTTTGGGCACGATTATAACGTGCGCTATGGAAAACATATACAAAACTTTGAAAATTATGCTAACGAAGGAATACTTTGAAGTTTCTTTTATTTGAGGAGCAGGATAATAGCTCATTTTAGAAAAAATCTTTTCTTCAAGGGTTTAAAAGATCGCCTTTAACTCTATGGTTATCGCCTATTCTAACTTTTGTTACGCGATCTGACTTTAAGTCATCTTTATTAGTATTCTTTATAAGAATTAGATTACTTTATCAAAGATAAAAGTAGCTACAAGTTAACATGAAGACTTAGAGCCTCGTAAAGGTGAGTCTCAAGCAGGACCACCGACAGCCCACGAAATCTCGTCGACTAATGCCCCTTTCTTAAAATTGGCGTTCTGTCCTTTTTGGGCTGACTGCTTACTGCTTTAATATTCCAGTTCGTAGTCAATCTCGTAGCCAGAGCCTGCGTTTCTTCTGGCCTGCGGGTAAGAACGARGGCTCTGGCATAATCCATATTTTGAGACCAGGAATTCTTGGTTCCCCATTTCAAATTTTTATTTTGATCAAAAGTAAACACAGAACTCTGTTTGAAAGCAGGTTTGAAAGCATGATTTTCATTCATTATATTTCACTTCTGGAAATCTGCGCATGCGCCAAAAAATAATTATGCAAGAGCCCTAGTTCTTCGTTGCAGGCCAAAAGAAAAGCAGGCTCTGGGTACGAGATTGGTTCGTAGTTTAAGAATCGTTTTTAGTGCGCATCCGATTTGATCTCAAATTCCTCACCTTCTTTTGTTTAAACCTTCTTCTGTTCTTAATTAAACAAAAGGTGAGAAATTCAGGATAAAATCGCAGGCGCACTCAAACCGATTCTTAAAATACGAACTGGCTTATTCAACCAAAGTTTTATACATTATTCGTGATTTTTTGGGKGAGCTGTTCAATAAAACTGCAGATTCAGGTCTAAAACCTTCAAAACCACTAACTACACCTCATGGTTTTAAACCTGTTGTTAAAGACTACAAACATAATAAAAGGTTCAATAAAACATTTTTACGAACATCTGCAGGCGATGTTTATCGCTGGCAAGAGTGATCAAATCAGGAAAAAAAGGTGAAGCAGAGATTTGCTATCGTGACATCGCGGCGGGAAATATCTACGATTTGTTCCACACMAGACTTAGTATCCATAAAAAGGCCTGTCAGCATAAGACGGTAAACGCCATCGAAATGATGTAAGTAAAGTATCACAATGTCTCCCAGTTACGGTTCAAAGCCTTTAGTGAAGCCCGATTTTAGCAGGTTAAAGCAAGTTTTTTATGACAAGTGTACTTGTCAAGTTTACTTGCTTATGTGTATGAAAAACACATGACAAGTTTTGACATGTTTTATTTGGTTGTTTACGCGAATAAACCTTGAAGTTTCTTTGGCAAGTCTCTGACAAGKTTTTGTAGCGACCTCTGGACAGCTAGACCAAGCAACCGCTGAGCGCCCGCGATTTCTTGTCACGTTTCCCTTGTTGGCCGATACAGACGAGGTTTCATAATTTGTCAAGTTTTCCTTGACAAGTTGCTTTGTTCAAAAGCTAGCATGCCAGCTCTTGTGGAACAAGTGCACTTGACAAGGAAAATCTTGATAAGTTCTTATTATCACATGCACGAGCAAATAAAACTTATCATAGAAAACTTGCTCGCTCGTCATTAACGTGCTTAACTCGGTCTAGTTTACCAGAGATAAAGACGTCGGGCTGCCCATAAGCTATAACTAGATAAAAGCCAGCCAGCTCTAAGATATTAGTGGCTGATTAGAACCTCAGTTGTAGCACGGCGTCATTTGCCGGCACGAGAATTTTCAGGATTGCGCAGGACGATCTGCCAGACGATACCTGTGTTAGGCTGATCTACGAGGATAATTAATTATAGATTATAACTGCTGAAGCCCTATTCTCTATCTATTTCTGCTGCTGATACGACATTATTTATTTTTAGATTATAACTGTTAATGGGAGATTATATTTAAATTTGTTTTACAGGATAACTGAGGCTCTAGTAAAGGCAGATCCACATTTTAAGATCAAAGGAGAAAATGGGCGGTAAGCTTTGTTTCGTCCCCCTTGTAAGGAATCCTGGATTTTTGTACAAGGTGCAATAAGCCCATTCACACAAAAAACCTAAAACAAAAATACTAAAAATATTGCCTTTCAATGGAAGCCGAGTTTAATAATGGTCATTCAGTTGTTGTTCAAATTGAAAGCAACAGACTCCTGTTGATGGCATATGAAAGGCATTGTTCTCTACCATTTCGTAAACCGAAATGTAAATAAGCAAAAAAATGATTTTTCAAATTGGTTTAACTATTTAACATCTTTGTCAAACGTATAGAGAACCAAGTACGATATCGACAGCAATAGATGACATGGTTGCCTACACTAAACTGACAGACCACGTGTATTATGAAATACTCTATTCGACTAAAGACGAATTAAAAGAGGTAAGAACAGTAGTTTGGTTATTTATTGAGTACAGGTTATTTTTTGCAAAAATGGCAAAGTTATGGTGCAGGAAACAGAGTAAAGTCGGGCCAAAGCAAGAGAAATGTCTCTAAAGACCAGCCAAACAAGTAAAGCTTTTGATGACAAACTGCAGCTTGAGGATGCTCACAAGAGGTGAGACTGTAACTAGTTAAAGGGATCGAATCCATTAATAGTTATCAAGCGATTGAACCTGTAAAATGCATCTAACTATAATCCTTGCCAGACCCAGGTTTGTAGCTTTTCAGGTGACTGACTTTATAGAAATAATTATAATAAATATTGACATACTTTACCTTGCATGATACAGGCAAGGGAAATCTTGCAGAACATAGAACAACGAAAATTGTATAAATTCATTGGGTACACGATTCCCAAAGACAACCCAGACGAGGTGAGTCTCAAACTGAACTATTTTCTTGGTTTACTTCTTCTCACTGCGCGACTCGGCTACAAAGTCGGTTGCAGAACAACAATATTACACCAAGGAAGCACGGCAGAAATAAATAAGTTAGTCTTCCTGTGGTATTGACGTGTGCTTACGAATACGTTTTTCCGCGAAAAATAGCGTGGGCTCAAGTAAATATCAAAGATGGCGGAGTACATAAAATTGACGGGGATTCGAAGGGAAGAGAACGGGGAGAGGAGTGAAACTTTTTCAAACCTTTCGACAATCCACGTCAGTTTTAGGGCTACTGGGGTTGCCACGGCCACTTAATGAGGTAAATTGTTGCATATGTTTGGGTCCCAATGCGTCCGAGTTAAAGAGTATTTTATGTACACCGCTATCTTTGATATGTTTAATATTCACAGTTGATTTCACGAAACTTCAGCATTTTGTTCGCCAGAAGTGCACATCTTGGTACGAACTTTGGGATTTCAAAGTGAAATTGATTAGCAATCTTTCAAACTGATAATACTGTAACTTCAAAACCTCATCAAATCTACCGTTTAAAGTCAGGAAGGAAAAACTACTCTGATAACTCTGTAAGTTACAAACTAATCCAATAAAGATCCATTTTTTTCTTAATTATTAAAAAAAAAAAGATAATAAATAATATTTCCTATTTGCATTTTCCTGTTTGCCTTAGCTTTATAGTAAGCCCTATTGTGAACTTAGAAGAATTGACAGACGAATATCGTTCAACATGTACCAATAAAGTCTACCTTTATTATCAACTTAATCAGTTTAATGAATCTTTATTCGTCAAAAGATAAGGGCTTTTTGTTGCTTTTTACGCAAGATGAACTCAAGTTTTTCAAAAAAGACGATTGGAATTTTGTCATTCACTAACACACGGCAATCCGTTTTACGGCATCTTTACTTGCTTTCAAGGCAGAAATGCTAAAAATTTCGTGTTTGTATTTTGCATCGGTGCTAATGCCAAAAAATGAAAGTAGATTGTTGTCCTTTCTTTCCGTCCTCTTTTATAATTTCCTTCTGCAACAAAAAAAGTTTTGCTAAATGTATCGTTTTTTAATTGCTAATTTATGCTAATGCTAGTTTTTTACGATAAACAGCCAAAAACATCGTGATTAGCATGCTACCAAGGACGTTGGTAATTCCCTAATGCTGATTGGCCGAGACCCGATCACCGCTATATTTGTTTAGTCATGAGCCCTCCCGACTTTTAAGAAAACCGCAAACGCATCCATACCACAGGAAGACCAATTAAGTAAATTATATACCACAGGAAGACCAATAAACTAATTTATTTCTATGTGCACTAAGAGGTATATCCACGAACGTTGTTTTTATCTGTCAAACTGCATGTAGAAAGGTGTTCCTGCCATGCGGAAAGAGATATTCGACATTGTCAAGGAAAATGCAGAAGAGTTGAAAGAAGATGATATTGTTGTGCAGGTATTTGTTATGCTAAAAGACAAAGTTTTAAAGTTTGTTGTCAGTTTTCGTAAATTTTCGATTTCTCTGAATATTTTTGGCCGATCTAGGAAGGCGTATCAAAACGAAACTTGAAATCTGGCTCTTTCACAGCTTGCGAAGGTGTTGTAAGGCCTTGGGCTAGTAGTCGAGAACACTCTATCCTATAGTCCTTATAATTAGTCCGTGGCACAGCCAGAAGATATTCTTCACCAGATCGTATGTTACGGGAGGTAATATATTCCTTCAGAAGGACAACACTTTGTTTTAGCTTCTAAAACACTATCGTCATAGTTTCCCAGCGGCTGTGGCCGCAGCCAGTATTTACTATATGTAATGTCTCCCCCGTATTTAAAGCGGGATGTCACTAATTGTTATGCTTTGAATTGCAGCTGACGCCTTTCAAGTATGGTGGAACGGATGACAAAGACCCAGTGGGAAAAGTTCGCTTCTATGCCAAACATCGTGAAAACGAATCTTTTAATATTAAAAAAGAACAGGTCCATAAATGAGTTATACATTTTTTTAAACTCATGAATAATTCATAAGCCTTTGGTCCAATTGGAGCCACTATACAAGTCACGTGCATGGACCTTTATACCCGATAAAGTCCTCTTCATTAGTATTCTTTATATAAAGAATACTAATGTGGACAACATTATCAGAATAAAGGTGCATCCAAGTTTAGATGAGGACTTAGAGCCTCATCAAGGTCAGTCTCGCGTACGATCATTGACGACCCATAAATTATCGTCGTCTAGTGCCCCTGTCTTGAGTTCGGCATGTTGTCTTCAACTTGTGGGAGTCTTTTTTGCACTTACTGCGCATGGCAGTGACGTACAAACCTCACTGCGCATGAAATTGCTGTACTAACGAATATCAAAGTATAAAAGTCAATGTTCGAAAGGTATATAGTTGCTCTACTTCAACTGAAAGGTTTGTGAATTTTACTTAAAGTTTTTGAAGCCGTTTAATAAACTCGGCTACGCCTCGTGATTTTATACCCGATAGAACACTCTTGCTCGTTTATTAAAGACTACATATATACATGTACATACGGCCTGTGAATAGACTGGAGTCCGGTGTAAGAACATAGTTAAGTTATACATGAACTGAGCWGAACAGCATGTGGTAACTCATCAACCTCATCATCGGCATGTACTCACTCAAGAATATCCAGCAAACACTCTCTATGGCATAATTCACTTTTTCAGCACGGATTTTCCGTGGTTCCGGTTTTAATGCGCATGCTCTAAAACCAAGACCTCATATTCCGGCTAGACTCACTTTCGGCTAGAAATGATGAATTTATATTTTCGTATATTTGTATATTGTAAAATTATTACATGAGATAAAAACTAATTGAATAGCTCCTGGATTAGTGTAGCTTTATGGTCACCAAGGAAACGGCCTCATAAATATATTTGGATGAATATAATTCTGCTAAGGAAAGAAAAAATATAAACTGGTTTTCCTGTTCATACCAATAAATAAAATGACCGGAGAATATCTGTTCGTGCTCCTGTGAAGTAAGATTGCGATCGAATTCGTTTAAAAAAATCGACCACAAGTAGAACGTACCGAGTGTAAATACGGTTAGTCAGTCTTTTACCTTGTCCGTTTATCGTAAGACCTCGAAATTGCCTGAAATTTACCAATCTGCCAATCCTCGAGTGCTTTATAACTCCACGCAGCACAGCAAACAAGTTTTTATTTCTTATATAAAATGCAAGGGCTCGTGCGTGCTGTGCTATCATAAGGCACGCGCTCCCAACTAATCAGAATGCGAGATTTGTAACAGTTATTTTATAAGAACCAATACATAAAATCCTGTAATAAATCGATGTTTCAGAACTTCACACTCGTAGCAGATGATGTAAGACGTACAATAAACGTTTAATTATCGATCTGCTAATATATTAGTGAGTGAGTGAGTGAGCGAGTGAGTGCAGGAATGACACATTTGCATATTCAGACCCCTCACAATAACTCTTTTCTACGCTTCGCGTATCCACGAGTTGAAATGGATCTTTTATGAATATTGTATTATGTCATTGTAAAAAAAACTAAATATTCTGCTTTCTTGTGCAGGTAAGCCGCATGCTGCCTGTGGTATTTATTGAAGAGGAGATAAGAGTTTACTGCAAGGAAAGAAAACAACCGACTGTAGAAAAGATGAAAACGTAAGTGATATTTACCTGTAGATCTATCAAAAGTAACAATTCTTATTTCTTGACCTTCAAGGGTCACAAAAAAAAAAAAAACTTGCAACTTTCCTCGATTCTTTYAAYATAAATAATCCGAAAATAAAATTATGTGCGAGTGTGCTCATGCACAGTGGGTCCACAGTGCTAGAAATATCCCACATGAAACATCATTAGTTCATTTCCTCATATGAATAGCCAATGTGGTCTTCATTTTATAAGAACATTGTACTTGTTAGTGTCGTGTAACGTTCGTAAGTGAATGACGTAAGACGATCGATAAACGTTAAATTATCGATCTGCTAACATCTTAGTGAGCGATTGAGTGAGTGACACATTTGCATATTCAGACCCCTCACAATAACTCGTTTCGGCGCTTCGCGTATCCACGAGTTAAAAGAGGTTAACGAAAAGTTGAAAATATGAAAAGTTGTCATTATGCTATTCTATTTTCAGAGCTTTCCTTGAATGGTGTACACATCGGGGATATGAGGTCGAGAACAAAGTAAACATTAATTTTTGGACTGATAGGCTCAATCCACTGTTTTCCAATTCATAACATACGTCATTCACTTGAGTATTATTACTTTTTGAACAACATAAGCTTGCAAAGAAACATCAATACAATGAGAAAAACCAAGAATGGCTTATTCGAGAGAGTGACATAGTCTGAATTGGAAAACATTGCGTCTAATTGATAATAATGATGACGAAAGCAAGTTGTTTTGAACCATTCCATAAATAAAACCATTCCTAAAATAGGGGTTAGGCTACTCGGTACCAACCACTACTAGAAGTGGATTTTATCTTCAAATATCTTCAAAAGTAAAAGTAAAATAGCAGATCTTAGATGTTTTGCACGTATGCTGAACAACGTAAGTCTGGTCCTTATTTAGAACGATTGCTTTGACCTTGCCCCAAGCCACACACTAAAATTAAATCAGTTGCAGGGGCCAAGAATTCAAAGAACCGACCACAACCCAAACGAAGTCGAACACGATGACGATAAAGATCTTCATTTGGAAACCTAAAAATACTATTTGTATAGAGACCGCTCATAAATGCACGACAATATATGTGGTTTTTGATCGGATARTTACTAGGGGTAGTCTAATACCCAGCATAATCCATCCTTTCTCTGCTTTGATTATTTTATCCAATTACAAGCTTCGTTCTATTCTACCAATAGCGGTCGACTTAATAATTGATGCATAAAGAAACTTTATGAATTTTATGATTTTGCACTTAGCTTTAAGCGAAATTCATCTGTATACTGCTCTCTTAGCCTGAGCAGTTTTCGTATGACTGTGAAAAGCTTGTGGCACGARCACGGCAAGGCATACGCCAAACCAATMACACTGCGCGAGAACTCCCACTCCTCCAATCAAATACCCGGAACACGGCATAAACAAGGGGCAGACACGGTCTTAGCCGAGGTCAAGGCACTGCCAGACTAAATACTTTTTGCGTGAGTTAAAATCAGCCGATCAAAACTTTAGAAAACATCCCAAGCCACAGTCGCGACAAGACACGCATACATCTATTTAAAAAAAAAAACGTTGTCAGTCGGAAATACCGACGGCACCGAGCTTTTCACCGAGTCATACGAAAACTGGTGTAATCTTGACTATGTCTTACTTCTGTGCACAAAGATGAAAACTACTATAGTCATTTATGCAAAGTGCACCTAAAAGTTGTTTAAACACATTATGCCCAAAGTAAAAGATTCGCTAAATCTAGAAATTACTTGCTTGTTTGTTTATTATATAAAAAAAAACTCGTAAGAAAGAAGCGTTTGTTTGAACAAAGTGTTACCATGCATGCTCGGGATGGGGTCCCACACGCAGCGAAAAAATAGAGACACCAAAGGAATAACACGCAGCGAAAAAATAGAGACACCAAAGGAATAACGTTTATTAAAGGGAATGCCGGCCTGGGGATGGCAATCAAGGGTGGCGTAGCGGCAAGTATTTCAGTCGTCTCTCACCTTTGGTTTGATTCCTAAATTCGATTCCTAGATCTCGGGTTCGATTCCTAGATTTGATTCCCAGATCTCGGGTTCGATTCCGAGATTCGATTCCTAGGTCTCGGGATCGATTCCTAGATTCGATTCCTAGATCTCAGGTTCGATTCCTAGATTCGATTCCTAWATCTCGGGTTCGATTCCTAGATTCGATTCCTAAATCTCGGGTTCGATTCCTAGATTCGATTCCTAGATCTTGGGTTCGATTCCTAAATCTCGGGTTCGATTCCTAAATCTCGGGTTCGATTCCTATATTCGGCATCACATGTGAATAGTGTTTGTTAAGTCTCTCCCTACTTAATTGATTCGAAGGTTTTTTCCGGGTTCTCCAGTCTTCCTCTCTCCGTAAAATCTACATACCAAGATAAATTTCCAATTCGATCTGTAAATTAGCTCTGCCGTACAGGTCAGTTGTTTCTTTCAGGGTTCGATCTATGAGTTATAGCTATACCCTGACTTAGGCTGACTTAGATCAGCCAAGAGGTTGTTTCAGAGCATCGATAAGATTTGAAGGTTTTTTGAAGGTGTTAGCCGAATCATTTCTAATCAGAAATAATCGAGGGAGGTGCTCAATCATTCCAGCTATCCTTTCAGTGAGACCAAATAACCCTGAATAACTATCCAAAACCGTTATCCAGTAAGGATTGTAAACTGTGTAACGAAATAAGAAAAGTAGACCTGTACTGCTTTGGGGTCTTGGCCGATCTCCCGACCCTTATTGTCCATCATCGGCCTTTCTCCTCAATTAGTTTTGATAACCTTCCTAGAAACAGCKATACACTTTTCTTTAATTCTATTATTTTGAAACATAAAAATGCTATAATATATAGTTAAATAGTCTAAAGTTTTATAACTAGGTGCTAGATGAATAATAGTACGTCTTTCTGATTAAAGTAAGAGCTAACCGTCACAAAATGCTATAATATATAGTTAAATAGTCTAAAGTTTTATAACTAGGTGCAAGATGAATAATAGTACGTCTTTCTGATGAAAGTAAGAGCTAACCGTCACAAAATGCTATAATATAAAGTTGAATAGTCTAAAGTTTTATAACTAGGTGCTAGTAAGAGCTAACCGTCACAAAATGTCCGAAAACGTGACTGATATATTTTCTGTTATTCACGTGACGACAAAAGTACCAAACCAGACATACTATGAGTAAAGACAATATTTTTTTACGCAGTTACGATAAGTCATTTCTATCTTGATGGCTATCGTTCGCTTGTCAGTGCTACAGTTCTATATGAGTCATTTCTTGAAACTGTTCATCAATACAACATCTTGGTCTCATAAAAAATAGATGGCCAAATGTTTTGTAAATCCTTGAAACACGCATCCTTTTAATAATAGGACGCTTTTAATTTCTTATAAATATTTATCGGCTAAGGTCAGCTGGTGGAAAAATTAGTCACTTGACAACGAAAGCGAACCTGAAAGAATCTATAACGATAAGCCGTTTCTATCTTGATGGCGAGGTTAACTAACGATCGTTCGCTTGCCTCCACAGTGATATATGACTCAGTTCTTGAAACTTGTTTAGATTAAATTTATGCTAATTATTGAACATTGATTGTGTGACTTATGTCATACATTGATTTATGTAAATGAGTATCAAGACAGTTTTTTTGGTTTAACAAGCCTATATCGCTTCGAAAGCGATGATGTTTCGGCCCGTTATCTATTTATTTTGTGGCATTGCTGAAAATATTTTTGTTCTTGCTGTGGTAATGATTGGGTCTCCTGTATTTTGAAAATGGCAGACAAGAGCGATCTCGCGGTACGCTTTCACGTTGCAAACTCTTACGCAAATTTCGATGGAAACATTTGTCATAAGATTCTCTTGGACGAAACACATCGTAATTAATATTTTTGAGATTTTAGTGGTTCTTGCTTTGAAACGTAGTGTTTTGGGGAAAAACAGGGCAACGTACATATATGTACATATAACGTCTCGCCGAACGAATGAGAGATCCGACAATAGATATAAACAATGATTGAGTATCGCAGAGAGCAGAGGACTGGGTGGAAAATATTTTGGCACATGAGCATAACTGTACGCGCTATGTTGAATGTAAGATACTTTTTAAACCTTCATTCTGCTCTTTGACATTTATGGTAAATGTATTTAGCTCTTATGTCATAGATTAAAGACAATGCGAAAGTCTCAATTCAAACGAAAAGATACAAGGCTTGTCTTTGACCTGTGCGCCGTCACCAATCTACTCAAAATTTACATCTTTTGGTTTTTTTAAAAATATTACCGAATCCAAGAAATGATACTTTTAATCAGAGTATTAATAAATGAAAACTGATGATTTCAGACTTCTATCTATCTATCTATCTATCTATCTTGTAAAGTACGCACTGTTTGTTTGTGGGACCTAGTTTAAATAATAGCTGGTACCAAAAACATGTCCTCAGATGCACACGAAGCTGCAACATATAGGAAGCTTGCTTCACAAAATATATATGCATTAACTGTTAGTTACATAGATAAACTCACCAGTTTTCTCATCTTATGCATACGTGCAGCTGAGACTGGCAAATTGCCTTACAATCACAAAAGCTTTGGATAACTTTTCAATAACCTACTCGGACTTGGACCTAGATAATGACTTAGGAATAAAATACGCATTGTCGAAGGGTTAATCAATAATATATTTTTTTCCAAAAAATGGCGAATGCGAAAGGGTATAATATAGTCTACACAAAGAAGATTCACCGCAACTCTTCGAAATACTCCGCATGGTGAAATGTTTTACATTTTCACATTGCTTATGATGGAAACGGCATATGATTGGATTAGGTCCAAAACTCTGACAGCTAAATGACACGCACGGAGACTATTATGGGCCGGCAAACCGAATGTAGTAACTRTTTCGGCCTGAGGGCCGAAACAAAAAATGTATGACACGTGTTTTGCTAACCTGGACTATCAAGAGGTTATTGCTAACCTGTACTTTACATGATTGGAATTTTATGGAAGTGTAAGAAGTATGTCTTTGTATAGTCGCCACAGAAGTAAGTTGTGTGAATTTTATGATTCATTATACACGATTGTAATCGTAAATATTAAGCTATGTGATCTGCATGTTTTAGATCGAATACACTACATTACTACACAATAAACAAATGCTATACGGTTTGTGGTGAYTCTGGTAACTTCTTCGCGGTACAAAACTGTTCATCAATTTAACAGCTTGAAAGATGTCATGGAAACACGGATTGACGCACACTAAAACCCTCTCGATTTCTTGGAAATGTTTATCGTCTGAAAGCAGCTGGTGGGAAATTATTCGCGTGAAGACGTCTGAATGAATCTACCAAATACTGCATATATTCGCTTTTGTGATCCTTAAAGACTCAAGCTTCTAATTTTTAAGGCCATTTCTATTTGGTGTCGAAGATAACTAACGATCGTTAGCTTGCGCTACAATTCTATTCGAAATGGCCGGTAAGTGAGAACATTAAAAACCATTTTCTCTTTCTGTTAAAACAAAGGTGTCATGGTAGATAATCTTTTCACCGTAGTAAGAACAAGAGTATCGCCATTGACTCCGACGAAGGACTAACGTCCGAAACGTCAGTTACTCTTGTTCTTACTACGGTAAAAAGATTATCTACCACGACACCTCTGTTTTAACTTTAATATCACCGACGCAGTCTAAGTTTACTAGTTCTAATACTAGTCGTCATCTTTCTCTTTCTGTGTCCGATTCAATGTGAATAAAATTCAATTTTATGTATTTCTATTTAAGATAGAAAATGGCTTCAACTAACTAATAATCTTTTCACTGAACTCGACACTGAACAGCATTCGCTCTATATATGTTCTGAAGTTATCACTCCTTTTTTCTCGGCCCTTTTCAACGTAAAAGTTACTGCAAAGTGTATAGGAGACAATGTTTTTCCAAACAAAGGTAAATCCAAATCTTATCACTAATCATAAACTCGTCTCACTACTCTTTCTCTCGTTTCTAAAGTTCTGGAACACGCCGTCTTTAACAGAGTTTCATACTTTAAAGTCAGAAGCGATAGGYAATAGGAAACCAATCTCCTTTGGCCCCGACACCCTTTTTTGAAAAAGGCATATACAACTCAATGGTTTGTGTGAAACGAAATCTTTGGAAGTTTTAACATTCTAGAAAAAAATAGAACACTATACATTCATATTCATTCTTTATGTTGCAGGCGAGAAAAAAGCTAAGGTAAGAAATAATAGTGGAAAATTTATCGCATCGCGACATTTTTCTAACCCAAAATCACACACAGAATCGATTAATTATACAGCTCTTCTAAAAAACATGAGTCTCTAATACTTCATCACCATCATTAATGATTTCCCTTGTTACTCCTTTTACTTGATTCATCTTTAGTTCCCACTGATAAGTGAGATCATTCCAAATGTAGAATACTGTAACACAATCAAAATTTGGATTTTAAAATTCCAGTTCGTTCGTTAACGTCAATATTATTCTAATTTTCAGATATTCAATGATCCGGTACATGGCCACGTAGAAATGCCCGAACTGTGTGTCAAAATCATTGACACTCCACAGTTCCAGAGACTTCGGTACATAAAACAACTAGGTATGAATATTTATGTAGCATACAATTAATTCAAAGAAGGTTGAAGGCGAGGCAAACGGCGATTGGCGTCAACTCGCCATCTAAAAGGTATTTGCTGAATGGTTCAGGGCGTTGTTCAGGTATTATCATCCCATAGTTCCTTTCGGTCKGCCAAGTGACGTCACTGGAAGAATCCACGCAAGTTGTTTGTAAAGGAAGCCATTTTGGATTTTCGATTACTTAATACATAATTACATAATCCCTTGTAATCAGCAGCATATTTTGAGTATTCTTAGTTTACTTAATGCTCTTTTTATTGGACCTTGAGATATGACATTGTCGTATTTATCATCACGTTGGAAGAARAATCCGATAACATCCTGGTTTGTCATATATTGGATCGTTAAGACTCGGTCCAGATAATCTCAATCGTAGAAATAATCCGTAACCAGAAATCCGAGAAGAAAGGATTCTAGCCAATTTTTAATAGATTTTATCATATTTAGTGTATTTCTTTCTTTCTTTTTATATATTTTCATATTTATATTTGTAATCTTTATATATATTTGTTTGTAAACTTAAAAAGTTTTTCAATTTTATATTGCGAATTAAGTATAAAATAAATGTTGTCTTATCTTATCTAATCAGAAGCTAATAATTTAAGAGAAAATTCTCTTCTTATTCAAGCGGTGAGTGCCAAAAACTATTTTCTCGAAGAAATGCCGTTGTGAAAGGCTAAAATCTCTTTATTCAGAAACTTGTTTGGAAGTGGACATAACCGATGAAAGTGAAATCAAAGTGTTAACCCAAAGCAAACATTTTATTCCAAAATGACCTTTAGGCCTTCATTTGCTAATTTCCCATATATTTTCTATAAAAAAGGCTGATAAAGCAAAATTCTAATACAAATGCAACGAAACATCTTTGTACAATTGAAAATNATGAAACTATTTATTTACACTGTGAACTAAGCGAATATTTTATAGAAATTCGTTTAGAAATGCTATTTATTTTGTCTTCATCCAAGTCTGTAAATTACTGATTGTTTATTGGAGCGAAGTTTTGTTAGACCTTCGCACATTTCAACATTCAAGAACATTATTGCTTCGGCTGTTTGTAGTGTGCAGCGATCAAACTACTTTTTATTCAGAACGGCCGAAGTTCCTTCAAAAATCCAATGGAATTGTTCTTTTTTTCGTCTTTTTCTATTTTTCCTACGATGTACATCTACATTGATTATTTTCTTGAGCTAAAATTTCGCTCGATCGAGTTTATAAGATTTTTTTGCGGAATACCGTCGTGACTTTGAGCTGTCTCTATGGAGAATAAAGTGCTCTAGAGCTTGAAATCAGACTTTCTCCTTGAGTTCTAATTAAAATAGCTTTTTTCGATATATAGCAGGCTTGATCTACAAGTCTTCAGAAAAATCGAAATGTTGACGTTGTACTTAAGCGTTATTGTTTACTTTTAATACATCAGGAAAAAAGGTTTGACTCATTGAAATTTTATTTCAGGCGTTAATTGTATAACTCTACTTCAACTTGCATCTTTCCTTGATTCTTTTAATATGAATAATCCGAAGATAAAACTATGTGCGAGACTGCGCATGCACAGTTGGACCCCATGGCGTTGACAAGTGCTAGAAACTATCCCACATGGATCATCAGCATTCCATCTCCTCATATAAAATATCAAAGCAGTCTATAATGTATAACAGTTTTGTGCATGTTAGTGTCGTGTAAAGTTCGTATTCAGATGACGTAAGACGATCAATAAACGTTTATTTATCGATCTGCTAACATCTTACTGAGCGAGTGACACATTTGAACGTCAGACCCCTCACAATAACTCGTTTCTACGCTTCGCGTATCCACGAGTTAAAAAATGATGACAACAATGATCACGCAATTATTTCATTTTGTTTATATTTTTGAAAACATTGGAGTTCCTGTGGATTACGCAATGTGCGCAGTAAGAGTGCGTGCTTACAACTGAACCCACCCATCCTTACTGATGAGTAACCTAACGTTACTTCAGGGTTCGATAAAATTTGTTTAGTAAAAATATTATATTTACAGATTTCAATAGATAACTTTATTAATCTTTGTCATTAAAAGGTGGATGTTACTTTGTTTATCCTGGCGCTGCTCACAACCGATTTGAACATTCTATTGGGTAAGAACATTTTTCATTTCTCAAAAACTTTATGATACCAAGATACGACAAATTATTGTAAAGGTAGTATACAACGGCGATATTTCGCATAACGTTGTTGAGTTAAAAATTGGCCTCGTTACTATTTTGAAGAATATTTTGTTGCRGCAACATGTTGCAGGTTATAAGGCCCCGTCCACACGTATTCGGAATTTTTTTTTTCGGATACCAAAATGTTTGCGTCCACACGCAGCGTATTCGAATCGTTTTCACGGACACGTATCTGTTTTCGTAAAATTTGCGGAAACGGACACAAAAATTTCCGGACACGTGTGGACGGAGCCTTAGACGAGCTTCAAAAACTCCCAACCTTGTTGCCATCATCTTGTGTTGCAGCGGGCGACATGTTACACGAAACTTTATGTCGTGTAACGTCACGGAAGAGAAATGGAATAGAATACAGTAAACACCCGTATATGAGAACAAGTGGATTAAGAACCTTCAGGCTGAAATTTAGCCAATAAAGCACCATATATATAAGAACCAATTCAGCCTGATAAATACCAAAATAAGAAAACAATGTCTCAGATTAAAGTATATACTGGGCATACTTTGACTTTTAGCGATTTTCATATGCTACCCCTCTCTAACATGCATCAGCCCCCTTTCCCTCTATGACTGGTCCCTGTTTTAAAGAGCCAGTGTCMCCTAATATAAGAAATTGCATAAAATTCATTAATTAATGTAACAGTACGTGCTAGTTTCATGGTTTCATGTAATAAAATATTTATTGCATGTTAATTAAACGTCACAGTAATGTATACTGCACTCTATATTATTTCCAAAATAATTTTAAGAACCTTCAGGCTGATTTCCCACTAAGTTTTTGATAGATAAGAAACGCATCAGGATGAACTTCAAAATCATAGGTTGTCATATGCGGGAATTTACTGTACGGCAAAGGTCATTTAGAAGGGTTCAGTTTTTAACCTACTATTTGACCTTTTCTTCCTCTCCTTCTCCTTTTTGTGTTACATACGACCTATTTGTCCGTTACAGGACAGCCCACTTAGCTGGGGTTTTGGCTGAAAGTTTGAAGTCAAGGCAGGACTGGCAGGAAGAACTTGATATAACCGAGAAAGACGTGTTGTGTGTCAAGATAGCGGGACTATGCCATGACTTAGGTAAGGAATTAAAATGAAAAAAAATCTATATAGAACTGCTCGTTACCTTAAACCCGAAAGTCATTTTCCCATAAGATTTTACAAGAGGTTTGCTGGGGGGCAACTAGCAGATGCTAAGTCAAATCATATCGAAATAAGTCCTCAAACTATTGTATTTGACTATTTTCACGACATCAAACCAGAAAATAAGAGATCAAAACAACCTCCAGAATTCTACAAGCCATCAAAAAAGAGCTATTACCGGAAGTGACGTCTATTTATAGAAACCTATAAGTTAAACCAAGTTAATAAAAAAGGAAACAAACAAAAAAAAAATATACATAGACACTTGTTATATAACGAAACATGCATTTACTGCAACCTCGGAAAGCCTGCAGTATGTTTGCATTTGTGGTCCTCGTTGTCTCGGAACCACAAAACACGCATTTTCATAATGATTCCTTGTTTATTCGCCTCGCCCTGTTATCCCTTTGCTGTATGTTTTGTGATGCTGAATCGTTGTATTATGCTATTTTAGGTCATGGACCGTTTTCACACCTTTTTGATAGATCTTTTATTCCTAAAGTTGCTAAAAAGGCTGACAAAGATTGGAAGGTATGTAAATGAATGAAGAATGAATGACTGAACTAAATATGAGAGAGGGAGGGAAAAAGCGCAATGAATTTCATTTCGTAACAAGATATACTTCATGGAGTCCTCACTACCACCACTGGTGGCAACTCTGCACCAGCATAAATCCCGGGTGTCTTGCTGATGTTCCAGTGCCTGTTCAGTGACTTCACACAACCTTCAACGATGTACGACCTTGGCAATTTGGCTTCTAATTGTGCCATTTCGTGGTAGCACTCTCCGGAAAGAGAAAATCTATCCATTATATAAACAATGGATTTCACTTTCTCTTTTTCTTTATCATCCAGTTTTTCATAGGACCACTCTTATCTGTTGTCACCTGTTTTCAAGTTAATAGATTAAAGTTGGCTCTCAAATTACTGCAAATYATTTTTACATTTAACTAATATCTTGTTCGGTATCTCGGATATTGAGTGAAGATGGAGTCTCTAGGACGTCTGGTTCTTTCTCGCTCGTTGAATCTACAACAGAAATCAGATGTAACTAAGGAATCCATCTAGAGCAATCAATCTTTCTTAACCAGGTAAACGAAAAATGACTAACAAAAAGCAGAGTTAACTCTGCAAAAAGTAATGATGAAAAGGTAAATTATACACCGTGAAAAAGATGAAAAAACTTACTGACAAAAGGTGTGAAAACTTTGTTTACAATTCGGTGAAGTCGGCTTCAAACCAAAAACTCGCGATTTAAAAGTTGCATTTATACTTTGGTTACTTCTCAAAAAAGTTTCAAAAACGCTTTAATACTTTTAAACAAGCATTATTTAGGTTATTGGCTTAGACACTTCGAGAAAAAAATCGTTGTGATGAGTGAAGTCGGATGACTTCACTACGTTCCGGGCGACTTCACTGCGAAGTCACCCGGGAGTTTACTAGAAGTGATTTGTCTTGCCCTGAAGGTTTATAAAACTTGAATTTGATAACTAATACTCACCTAGATCATCTTTTCCGAGTTGAACCTCGACCGGTCTACCATTTTGATCCTTGAGGATTAACGCCTCGGGCACCAAACCGAAAGTCTCAGCAAACCAAGACACAATAAATAAACTCAGACTTCAGACATACAGCAATAGCCCCTGGGCACATACAATTTCGTAAAAGTAAAATTCGCTTATTTCATACGAGCAATACCTGTCGTTCGCTGTTCATTACTAACATAAAAAATAATAAAACAGTGAACCGTACCTGATTTGGTTGATTTGACGATGTTGTTTTTTTTGCTAACGTCTGCAAAATTCTTCCCTCGATGACAAAGATCTGTATTGTTCTGAAGTCTTCTGACCGTCAACATGGCCTCGAATAAATGCTTAGATTTCAGTTCCAACTTCTCGTCCCGCCTTATGGCTTTCTCAATTCAACACATTGAACTTGGCGTCAAATTCACTGATTATTTCTGCTGGCCCCTTTTCAATTTCAAGAAAATCGAAATGGATGGTCTTCCATGTCTGTGATTTCAATAGCCGTCTTTCTTTTCCGTTCCTTACACGCGACACCTTAGCATCAAAACTCCTGATTTGAGTCTGCAGTATCTTCCCAATTCTTGAAGAAGACGACTGCTTCAGGACATATCCAAACTGAAGGAGACTGGTATTCAAGGCCTTGAAAAGGGTTATTGCGCTTCTGTTTGCACTCCACTGCCRCAACGCTTCGCCATTGATTTGAAGGGAAAAAGTTAAATCTTCACTTTCCATACGTGGAGGTTTTAGGTGTAAAAGGAAAGGATGCACTGGTTTAACAGGAGGTTCTACGAGCTCTGAAAAGAGCTTCCTGCCATTTTCAGCAACATAGCAATCCATTTTTTTTCGAAACCGATAAAATCTCTCTAGATAGGAAAATGTTCAGTACGCGACAAAAGTCAAAGTTTGAATGAACTAGGCGGTTTCTCCGATGAAAAAAACACACAAGGCCGTGTTTATTCATTCAATTTGGAGACAAAAGAGCTAAATGATAAATGAAAAGTGACTTAATCCATAAACAATAGAGGTTATGTTTTTGATGCTGCCGAGAGTCCCGCGGACAGCTGCAAGTACTTCGGGAATCCCGCTCAACCCAGGCGCAAAGACCACACATTTTTATAACTTTAAAAACCTCAAATAAAATTTCAACGGATAGTCCGTGTAAAGGGTGCMAAATGTTCTTTAGACATTAAAGTTTGTTTTGCACCTTTTGGCCATCGACCAACTCACTTGGAAAACAAAATATTTCAACATCAAGATGTACGACCTCTATGTTTAAAACAAAGGTGTCGTGGTAGATAATCTTTTCACCGTAGTAAGAACAAGAGTAACTGACGTTTCGGACGTTAGTCCTTCGTCGGAGTCTTCATTGACTCCGACGAAGGACTAACGTCCGAAACGTCAGTTACTCTTGTTCTTACTACGGTGAAAAGATTATCTACCACGACACCTTTGTTTTAACTTTAATATCACCGACGCAGTCTAAACTAGTTCTAATACTAGTCGTCATCTATTTATTCGACCTCTATGTTTCCATACTTAAATGTTTAAAAAGTCCTTTTTTTTCTTGTTAAAATCCTCAAAAAAAATTTTATCGTTTGATTTTTTTGATTTTACCCAACGACAAGATGATATCTCTACTTTCATTTGCACCCTTTGGCCATGTAAAAAACTTAAGAAGAAGATACAAAATTACTGGTTTTCAGAGTCTACTTGAGCCATTTTTAGCCAATTCTCTTGTAATTTTACTCTGTAAACGAGTCACAGTCAAGTGAACATGATTTGAAGCGCGCGCCAAAACAATAGAAATGTCCCGGATGTGTCCGCCTATTCTGTGCCATGCTGAAAAAACCTTCAAATTTGATCGATATCCTTGGTATCTTATCGGGTTCTCCTGTTTTCATCCATCTATAAACCTAACACGCTAAATTTCAATGATAATCCAAAAAGTTGTTTCAGGGTTTGATTGAATTTAAGTATTTCCACTCGTTGTTTGGCTGGAATTGACTCAGGAGTGTTGGAATCAGACTTTCTATTTATTTGGTCGAGATTCGGCACTGCCTGAAAGGAAATATCTATAATCATTATGTTTTCCCCAAGAGGTGGACGATGACACGACTGCTCAAGCACTGGGCATCGGATCTCCCTAATCTCCAAACCCAGTACCAATTTCTCTCTGCGATGCGATACGCAGGCTATGAAGGTCAAAACCTTTTTATCAAAATACTTAACCTATTTGATTTGAGATGTGCTAATCAATGACTGGCGTCTACTTCCAACATTTTATTTTCAGCATGAGAAAGCTAGTTTGCTTATGGTTGACTTAATCTACACGAAGCTGAAGAGCGATTTTGAAAAACATGGACTAGAGGATAAAGATGTTGTCTTTATCAAGGAACTCATCAATGGCCCAACTGAAGGATCTAAAGAGGTACAAGTTTATGTTATCGATTTTAAAGTTTTGAGTTTTTATACGGGATTTTTTCTCCCAAGGGTTGAAATGAGAAATCATAATAATAAATTTTATTTCTATAGCGTCTAAAACACTAATTGCTCTAGGCGCTTTACAACATTAAAGTATTAAATTTTTACTTTAAATATAAGTTATATATTTATTTAATTATTACTTTAAATATAAGAAAGAGATGAGAAAACATTAAATACAGTAAAAGTGTCCGTTTATAAGCCGCGACATTTGAGAGAGAGAGAGAGAGAGAGAGAGAGAGAGAGAGAGAGAGAGAGACGGGAGCTTAACACGTCTTGTTATTTATTTCTAGGACTGGCCTTATAAAGGAAGAGAAAAGGACAAACGTTTCCTTTATCAGGTAAGTGTGTGGATGTTTCACGAGGTCACAGGTACGTTAGAGCAGTGAGATAAACTAAACAAACAGTTAGAATCGCAGTTAGGATCCAAGTTTGGATCTCGATCGGAATCGCAATTTAGATAGCTTATTCCATAAAATATTTAAACATTTTAAATTTAATTTTCAAATTACACTCAAAAAGACCTCAAACTTTACACTACATTATCTACGGGATTTGTGATCAGATTCTTAAACAATTGCAATGCAAAGATAGACCATCTCCCTAGAAAGCAAACCGCTAAGGAATTTACAAATGAATTTAAAGTCGAGAGATTTTAATTTATTGTGAAAACGCAGAGCAAATAACCAAGTCATTACTGTAAATGTTTTTTTTTACCTTAAAATTATGGCGGGATTCAAAGACTGCGCAGGTTACATTTGATGAATAAGTATTACCCTTGAAGATCTCTGTTCATTGGAATGAGGAAAAGGAAAGCCAGCAGCATAGGTTGAACCTACTTCAGTTTTCCTGTAACCCCTGGGTGAGCTATCAAATTTTGCTTACCTTGATAAAATATTGTTTTCGTCTGTTTAAGAAATATAAAARAGAGTCAATTATAACACCTTGAATAGCAAAATATAACATACAAAAGTACGGATGGGAAAGATTGCTATTACCTGAAGAAGCCATGTTGTGGCGACGGGAGATGCACTCCACGAGGCTGACGGGCGACAGTGTTGGTCACCCTGTGTTCATGTTATTTGCTGTATGGTTACCCTGTGTTACATTAAAATTACTTGGAAACCTCAGTTCGAATTCAGCAAAATATAGTCGGCAAAATCAAAATTAAGTGCTGAATCCATTTATAGTTCTGCCAGATAAAAYTTTTGATGATCTTGGCAAGCGATCTTGACTGCGATCCTAACTACGATCCCAACTGTAAAAATAGCTAAGCTCAGAGTTTTCCTATGACTGTGAAAAAGTCGGTGCCGTATTCATGCCTTGCCGCGACCGTTGGACCCGTTGAAATGCAACGTTTTTAGTCGTATTCCAACGTGTTTAACTTTGGTTATAAGTCATCGCAGTGTTTTCTAACATCCTGGCGTATGTAATATGCACGTTTATCATATGACCCGTACGGCCCTGCTCGCGCGCTCTAATAAAACCATTGGAAAAAGTCACGTGATGGGGGCCGGACGGGTCGACGTAAGCGGGCCGGAAAAACCCGTCCGGCCCTGCTCGTATCCGCTCGCTTTCTTTTTTTTAATTATTTTTATTTTCGTGAGGGTCATATGATAAAATGCTCATTGACTGAGTTAGGTCGGGCCGTATGGGAAAATATTTGGCTCTCGGTCATTTGTACGGCATCTCCTCAAGCCAAATATTTTCCTGTACGGCCCGACCTAACTCAGTCAATAAGTACATATTATGTGCTAGTTTGATATCACCCTCATGTAGGCACCTGCGTTGCTGGCGGTCTGCGGAGTTACGAAAAAGAGAGAGGAAATGCGAGAGAAATACTGGCACGTGTCCTTTCCACCCTCTCTTCTTTCGTAACACCGCAGAGCGCTATGAAACGTAGGCTATCACGTAGTTGATGTATGGATGACCTTCTAATGTCGAACTTATTTCTATTTATAAAGATTGTATCCAACAAGGATAGTGGTATTGACGTGGATAAGTGGGACTATTTCGCACGAGATTGTTACCATCTTGGAATGAAAAGCAGCTTTGATCACATGTAAGATATAATTTTCCGAGTGCTAGTAATCTTTCAGGGCGCAACTCCAACCGCTTTATATTGCACAGCAGAATTGCGAGACAGTTGCATTAAACATAACTGGGACCACTTGAATAAAATTTAAGACGAAAAAACTTAGGCGATTACGAGAGAGCAAAAAATATCCTATGGACCTCAGCAAATCACAAAAATCTAAGTTTTTTTCTCAGATATCTAGGCTTCGTTGCTTGCTCCTGATTGGTTCAAGTTTGACTTACGTTTGATTCCAATGTTTTCACACATGTCGCGATTGGTTTTCGAGTACCCGGGTTAATGTGTCCGCACAGCCTTAGTAAGCAAAAAAACCGAAGTTTCGAATAGAGCCTAGAGTGCAAATAGATGCTGTGGCAATGCAACAATGAAAAAAAAGGCGTTAAGGCGTAAGAGAAAAAAATATAGTGAATCGCTTGAGGTTAAATCTGAATCAACGAGAAATATTTACAATCATGTTCCTTTAAAAGTCAGTAGAGTACAAACTCTAAAAGTGTGCAACACTTTGCACTATTTATTTAGTAGCAAGTAGTGCTAATTAAGCAATAGAAAACAATAGGATTAGCATAATTTAGCAGTATTTAGTGGTATTTATGTTACACAATTATAGTGTTTGTACTCTGTTATAATTTTAATTAGGCGCTGCATAAAGATGGCACGAGCCATCCAAGTAAAAGATGACAATAACAAGTGGCATATCTGTTTCCGTGACAAAGAGGTCCACAACATTTACGAGATGTTTCATGTAAGATCAATCCTTCACAGACGCGCTTATCAGCACAAGACATCCAACGCCGTAGAACTCATGTAAGTYATTCTAACTAAATCAGCTAAAAAAGATATGGAGGCAGAAATCTAAAGTTTAAGCATTATTTTCGAKAATTAACTAACAATATTTGAAGAAATTGTTGAGCATAATACAAAAATTAAGCTTGGTTTTAACTTAGAAACGGATAGAATCGGACTCGTAAACATTATAAGTGAAAACCGCTCGTCATAAGCACAAGACAAAAAAGTGAAATATTCCAAATCTGATGCGCTCCCGACTCCCTCCCAAGTAAAAACTAGGCTTTAAAGAACCGAAAATCGTTTTCAAATTTAGGATTTTGAAGACGTCGAGAGACGTCCTCCGAGCCACTTGAAAGTCTAACCCTTTGCAGATTTAAATACTCTTATTCTATCGTGGAGCATTGTTTGCACTTTCAATATATTACGAAGGGTAGCACTTTCTCCTCAGTTATTTTAAGACCCCAAGTGCTGGTCCGTCTGGGACTCGAATCCACAACCTCCTGCACGAAAGTCCGTTGCTCAACCAGGCTTGATTTTCAGTCTTGTTAGCAATCATGTAGCCGATTTGGCGTGTGATGTGGTGTGGTTTGGTGTGTCGTAGGATTGAGCATTTTTTTAAAGTCCAAATGAATAAGACTATGATGTTCTTGTCAAGACTCGATCTAAGGTAGCTAATGAAGAAGCTGCTGATAGTTCAAGCAATAATGCCTTCCGTTTGCCATATTTTTTTTGTTGAAAGGATAACTGATGCCCTAGTGAAAGCATATCCGTATCTTGATTTCGAGGGAAAAGACGGGTAAGAAAACTGAGCTGTGTCACCCAGTAGACATATGTGGCACCCAAGGCCATTTGATCACACGGCCGGCGCCATGATTATTGCTTGATTTCACTCAGTCTTTGAATCTCATTATCTGCTCCAAATGGTGGTCAAACACTGACCACCRTGTACTGTCTACCAGAAAGAAKTCTATGAAAAACTTGTGGTTCAGTCGATGAACATTCCCCACTAGACAGGAAACGATGTCTATAGTGAAACCAAGCAATTTCATGTGATTAATAACCTGTGCTACCCCACGTAGCCTCATCTTAAAGCGGTTAGCTTACGGGGGAAACTATTCCAGTCAAAATGCTGCCGCGTGAGAAAAGTGGAAATGTCCAGATATTTAACCCCAACTAATAACGTAATTTCCAAGCCCTGCCGATACCTGCATGAATGCCGTTTGATTGCAACTAAACAAACGGCTGAATGGATAATATTCCGCAAGTTTTTCATCTCCAATTTAGAAAAAATCTGAAGATSCCTGAAGCGATACACGACATGGTGGCTTATACGAAGATAACAGACCAAGTGTATCATCAAATACTTCATACAAGTGATCCACGACTAGAAGAGGTCAGAACATCGAAGGCCTATAAAAATGAAGCAAAACCAATTGTCATCGCTAATCCCCACCGCAAAGTACAGCAGCCGCACAACGGGGTCGAAATGAAACTATGTGAAGCGCCTCCGACACCCGCTATACACCATTTATGATCCTGGAGCACAGCTCTAACTAGTTTGAAACAGTCAAGGTTGATTTGAGAGAAGGGAGAGAAACCCTCGGAGTCAGAAATAGAACCAACAACTCAGCTGACATGGAGCAACTGGGATTCAAACTCAGTGAGAGGCGAGCGTTTTACCACTACGCCATCCTGACTTCCCAGCAAAGTCTATTGCAAAGGCAATGAAAGCATGAAAAGCAAATCGAGACACAAAAAGCATAAYTGAAGGCGCTTATGCAGGCATGCAGCCCAGTAATAACCCGAATGTCGCCAATAAAAACTACTAGAGCTACCAAGTAGTTTTGATTGCTGGCATCATAGTTAATAGAGGGGAATGGTTAGGAAACCTATTGTTATCTGTCTTTGTTCGCTTTTGATGTTGAACCGGTCTTGACCGTGCACAATGTTTGATTTATGCTCGTCCGAAATTACAAAATAAGTAAACAYAAACTTTGTCTATGGTATTGTTGTAAGGAATATTCAAATATCTCTCATAAATCTTTTAGTATCTTGAATTAGCAGCCAAAAGAAAGATTTTTGTCTGTTCACTCAGCCATTGCCAACAATGGTAAAACAATAGTAATAAAAAGGATTGTGCACGGTCACGCTTGAAAAAAGTGAACAAAGACATATAACTATAGGTTTCATAACCATACCCCTCTATTAACTATGCTGGCATCTAAGATTAAAATATCGCCGGCTAACCAAAAAACGAGGTCATTACACCAAGTGGAATCAGATTCTCCCCCAAGAGGCACCGTTTTTTCACAAAGCATAGTGTGTATGTTCAAGCGACAGCCAAAAGCTCTTGAACAGTGTTACCCATTGTAAAATATTGTGCCTTAAAGGAAGAACAGGAAAGTTCACTCCATATTTTTCGGTTCACAGGCAAAGCAAATTCTGGAGAGGATAGAACGTAGAGAACTGTACAGATCAATTGAAGAACACACTACCGAGAAAGATATGTCAGTAAGTTTTTGTTTCCAGGTGAAAATTTTATTCTGAAAACAACGATTATGGCTACTTTCAAGAAAATTTTAATGGCTTAATCATGGTTCAGAAGTTTTCTCTTCTAAGGTTTAAAGTTTATACATAGTTCGCTGTGAGCATCCCTAAAAAACACAACGAACATTATTTATGACTTATTATTATACATTTTACCAAGTATCGCAATTCTGATTAGTCGAGAGGCCTCAGCCAATCCCTGATATCGTGTGAACTCGACATGATAAATGTATTATCTGTTGGTTTTCCTATACATTTATCATGTCAAGTTCATTCAAGGTCACGCTGTGGTAGCTTTGTTTTTATTCATTGTGTATTTATTTCCAGAATTATGTACAAAAACAATTAATTAGGAATCCTTAACTCATATKTTTATATTTTATGAAGAATTCTTAAAATATTTTCGAATTAAAAATTTTACGTTTTTCACGCTACATCATGGCGTTCATAATTCTTGTCTCTATAATTTGATGTTCATGTTAATGTTTTTCCAGTATACAAAATGTATAATAAAGCAATTATTGAATCGCATAATATTGTAAATATCAAGACCTTGGCTGTGTTATCTACACTTCCTCGGTCTCGATAATTTACGATATTATGCTCAACCTCATTCAATTTAATTTTAAGCCTAAAAGATACCAATTTGAAACATAAGATAAAGTTTTTGAGACGTGTTAAAAGCCAACATCTCTTMCTTTTCCACCCCTAAATGAGGGAGTGAATTACCATTTGAAAAAGATACTACAATCATCCCGCTCTTCGTTATATGGTAGTAACCCTCTCCCTCCCCGTGGGGCACAAAGCAGCACTGAGGGCCGTATGTTAGATAACTCTTGTAAGTTAATGCGTCTTATTTTTCTTCAAAAAACGTCTTTAAATCAAATCAAATCAGCAAATAATAATTGACAATCTTTGTATTTTGGTCTAGCGTATAGATGTCGATGAGGGAACCCTTGAAATAGCAAACAAGAGTGGAGTCGCGAAGGAAGACTTTATACTTGACGTAAGATTTTGGAAATGTATTACTGATTCAGTACTCTTGGCCGCGCGGCAAGGTCACGGTAAAGAATTGACAAGATCTATTGGTAGTAATATCATGCGTGTAGGGCCAAAACGTTTGCCCGCTTAACACTAATCACGCTCCTTATGATTGTAAGCTGCGCTGCCCGTTGAGTCCTCCAACATTTTTCCACAGGTAGCCCAAGCTTGGCTTTTCTGTCAGTATATTACAGTAAATCTTTGTGGTTCCTGTGGTAAATCTAGCAAAAAAAGACCAGTTCGAGTTCCACATTACCGCTGTGTTCCTTGACTACAGACTCAATACACAGGGTTAGCCTCGTATCAGTGTCTAAATATTCACAAATACCAACGATGAAGTAAAGAATGCACAACTTCAACAATACAAACACTTTGACATTCCACGGTTCTTCACTGGAACGCATGAATATTCTGCACAAAATCGAGGCTAACCCTGAGCAACAGAGAACTGGAGTGTTTAGCTTAGAAGCTGTCCCTTGTTTGTCGTCAGTCAGTAAAAGGAAATCTTTACATCGATTACCATTGTTCGTTTTCAGAAAGTAAAATTTGATTATGGCAAGAAAAAAGAGAATCCTGTCAAAAATGTCTACTTTTACAAAAAGGAAGACCCAGATAAAGCCATTAAAATTGAAGAAGATAAGGTAAATATATTAACAAGATTTGTTGTATTTTTGCGCATGCCCCATTTCCCCTGTTGCTCATCAGATTACATCCGCTCATCAGATTCGACTTAAGCTACGGACACACGGTGTAACATTGCGCGCGATGTTGCACGCAATTGATGTTGCGAGCCATGACACATGACGCAATTCGTTGAATGCAACGTTGCCGAAGTAGAAAATTATTCTTGCGCGCAATAGTACATGCTTTTACGGTACACGCCAATTTCAAAAAACGTTGTCGGTGGGTGAACTGAGATGGGCGATCTGAGGATAAACAGAATTTGTGTACTTTTCTAGTTAGTGTTCGGCTGTCCAGTGACTCTGGACAAAGGCACCTCGATCATGTTTTAGTTTTTATAAGCAGTAGGATCCATATAGGCCGAACATAAGCCGAACTGTTTTTATGAGATAAGAGCTGAACATACGCCGAACGGTTTTTATGAGATAGGAGCCGCACATACGTCAAATGGTTTTTATAAGCAGTAGGACCCGAACACACGTTAAACAGTTCGAAATCGTAATATAATGAAGCTTTTTTTCTCTTTACATTTAAAGGTTAGCTACATGTTACCTGAAGTGTTCTTAGAATGGAAGATAAGGTTGTACATTCGCAAGACTGAGCTGGACGAAGATAAAAAAAAACAGTTGATAAAGTAAGTAATGAGGTAGTTTTCTTAGGAGGGTTTTCGTGTACAATTCAAACAACGCAGTAGTGACTTACATCAAGTGAACCATATTAGCGGTGTTCATCTCTTCACATAAAAAATATTAGGATAAAAGACATGGCAGCCATGTTGGTTACATAACGAAAGAAACCAAGGCCAAATATTTTGTCCAAGTCAATTATCAAGGCGGTTATGACGTCACATCCATCCCAAGAATACGACATGCCGTAACAGTGTAATGGTTTCTTGTGTTCGTGTGAATCATCCAATCACAAAACGAGTAGTTTTTTTGTGTGGTTTGTACCAGAAAGTAGTAAGCATAATACATAGTTGTAGACACTAATAGACCTATCCCGACTAATAGACCTATTGACTTGTTACGAAACAATGGTTTTGAGTCGAGGTTGAACTTGATGAATAAAACAATCAAGACCTTGAAGTCTCGACTTCAAACCATTGTTTCGGGATAGGTCTATTCCATTGTTTTCTTCTGTTTTACTTTGGCCGTTAGTCACTAATCATACAACTTTGTTTCGCGGGCCGAGTTAAACAAGTCGGCACACTGGGTACGACCTACCAGAACAATGAAATCGGTTCTTATTTTTGTCCTGCGCATCATCCAATCAAATAAGTAGTTGAGGCTAAGGTAAAATACGATAGGGGTACAATACGAACACGTATTTTCCCTTACGAAATCTATTCTAGCTGTCAAATTATTATGGCTAAGTTCAGCAAGCTGTAATAAGTTATAATACACCGAAAACACAAAAGAAAATCAAAAAGTGCATATCACGGGTTTTTGAAAACCACTCTATTGCACGTATTAGATAGATAAGGCAGTGCGCCGTGTGGGATGGGCTCGGATATCAAATAAGAACATGCGTAATARGKAWATTACGAGCCTTAGATGAAACGACTGAAGAAGAGTGCCATACAAGCCTKTCACAACTTCAAGTCGCGTAAAAAATGAGCCTTAGACTCGTAATTTACCTATTACGCATGTTCTTATTTGATATCCGAGCCCATCCCACACGGCGCACTGCCTTATCTATCTAGTACTACTTTTTCGTGGGATTGCCAGCTCACTAGATACACTGTGCTGACGAGGCCCAATACAGGCCGAAACAGCTGTCCACAGTTTCTAGTTGAGCTGGCTCATTTTTTACGCGACTTGAAGTCCAACACTAAGGGTCTTAAAATAACTGAGGAGAAAGTTCTGCAATCGCAATTACATCTATAAAAATGGTAAAATCTTTTTGTGGTTGGAATGACCACTGGTCGAGCATCAAAATTTAGTGAGGAAGGTCATGGTTCGAGTTGTGAAAGGCTTGTATGGCACTATTCCTCAGTCCTTTCATCTAAGGCTCGTCATTTACTTGAACGTMATATATAGATCGATTCAATAAAACGTTTTCTTGTTTTCTTTTCTTCCAGGGGATTTGGTGAGTGGTTCAAAAAGGTAACGGACGTAAAGGAGGTAAATTGACTAACTTGCTGAGAATACGATGTGTTTTATAAGTAAGGCTTACCCAGTTCTTTGATCTCCGATTTAAAAAAGCACATACAAAGAAAGAAAGAAAGAATAGTGAAAATCGTTGCCTTTATACTACTCAAATATCTCCGCAACTCGTACCGCGACAGAAAGAAATACAAGATGAAAGGAATACCGCCAAGTTTAAAATCCCAAAAGATGTCTGGCAATTTTTTTACAGCGCTGTCGCAATCGTTGGAAGCCAAGCGAGAAGAATCAAGCTATACTTTTCGCATCAGTGCTTAGTCTCCTTCGCAGTCATTTGTTTCGGTCCCAGATCTTCACGGACCCTTTTCACAAACTAGTGAAGAGGGCCGTGAGGATCTGGAACCGAAACAATGACGGCTGGGGGACTCTCTCGCCCCCAAGCCCCACACGGCCTCCGGCACCCAGGGTAGAGACTAATCAATGCTACAACAGATTACGGGATATTACCTATTGCCAGGATGGTCCTACTGGAACTTAGGCGTTTGAAACGATTTGTTATAACAGGCTCGATCGCGTAAATTACTTACTGCCCAGTCTTTTATAGTCGCATTTTGTTATCATGCAAAACAATTTACAAGATAACGGACATTGCCTAGACTAACGACTTCTTATGATCTTTCTATACATTTCTGTAGGAAAGCGCAGCCGGCAGCTCTGGTGCAGCGGGCAGGGAAGATGAGACTCCTGAGAAGAAACTTTCTCCCGAAGCGCATGATGGAGCACCGGCAAAGAAGAAACTAGAATATTCAAATAATTAAAAACACTAAGTTTGTTTTTGAAAGCCTTTAGTAACTAAAATAAAGCACTAAACGATTTGAGATCAGAATAGACTAACTTAGAGATAGCATGTGACTAGACTACACGTGATCAAGATCTGGCTGCATGTGACTAGACTACACGTGATCAAGATCTGNGCATGTGACTAGACTACACGTGATCAAGATCTGGCTGCATGTGACTAGACTACACGTGATCAAGATCTGAATGCATGTGACATGTCAGGTGACATYCATGTGCACATGCGCTTGCATGAATAAACTATGATTAGAATAGACTAACTTAGAGATTCTTGGTTTTCACCTACGTCATCATGAATTTCAAAAGCGTAAATTCGCATTATAATGAAATAAAAGTTTCGTAATCTTGTAAAGTGGTCCAAACTACATATTCTGGCCAAATTTCGAGACTGTATAGCATTTCGTTGCGGAACTAGAGGCGAATAAACATGACGCAATTTTTGGTTAAAATGTATGGAGCGGCCATCTTGGTGTTCCAAGTTGGTACACCATAATGGCGGACGAAATTCCAAAGGCTTAAAATGATGGAATATTTAATATGTTTGACTATTTTTCACTTAAATATACTTTGAATAGATATTTTAAATGTGTCTAAGGGAAAATATTTTATTTAAAGTAAATTATTTTACTATTTTGATCGCTATTTTGATAGACGTGACGGCATTGCGTGACACAGACTCAACCTTCATAACTCGGGAACCAAACATCGAAATGACTCGAGATTTTTTCTTGTGACTTATAACACTGACTTCTAAAACATACTTGAGAAATGCCTTTATACGATCTATAGCTTAGATTTTGATGTTTTGATGACGTCATGTGAAAACCAGCAATAAGCGTGATCACATCCCAAACGCATTACTAGACTACACGTGATTAAGATCTCTGTGCATGTGACTAGACTACACGAGATCAAGATCTGTATAACGAATATAATCGATACAGTTATGGGGAATTTTAATCTTATTAAGTTGTTAATTTTAATATTAAGATCTCTGTTCATGTGACTAGACTACACGAGATCAAGATCTGTATAACGAATATAATCGATACAGTTATGGGGAATTTATCTTATTATGTTGTTAATTTTAATTTTAAAGTAACGTTATCGGCATGTTGTGTGACAATGTTTTCCCAATTCAGCGTGACAAACCTCTGAGGGAATGAAGAGCTATTGTTTTGAAACTCGTCGGGATATCATCGTTATTCCTTTCGTATCCTTTGGGAT